CTTTCCCGGGGACCAGTATTTCGCCTCGCATGGTTCTTTGACGGTCTCGGAGCCCGAAAACGGCCCCCAGACGTCGAAAACAGCAAAAACAAATCCGTCTTCTTGCCAACCATCCTGTGTTGGGCCCTCGTTTTGAAGAGACAGCGCCCCGCGTCACTCCTCCCGCTGTCCCCTCGTCTCACCCCCCATCATCCTCGTCATCGTCATCGTCATCGTCATCGTCATAAGCATCATCATCATCATCATCATCATCATCATCATCATCATCATCATCACCACCACCACCACCACCACCACCACCACCATCATCATCATCATCATCATCATCATCATCATCATCATCATCATCATCATCATCATCATCATCATCATCATCATCATCATCATCATCATCATCATCGTCATCGTCATCATCATCATCATCATCAGCATCGTCATAATGATCAGCATCATCGTCATCACGATCATCATCATCACCACCACCACATCATCATCAGCATCATCATCACCACCATCATCATCATCATCAGCATCAGCATCAGCATCATCCTCATCATCATCATAATCATCATCCTCCTCATCCTCATCTCATCCTCATCCTCATCATCATAATCGTCATCGTCATCGTCATCCTCATCCTCATCCTCCTCCTCCTCCTCATCATCATCCTCATGCTCATCCTCATCCTCGTCCTTGTCCTTATCCTCACCATCATCACCATCATCAGCAGCATCATCATCACCATCATCAGTATCATCAGCATCATCATTACCATCATTGTCATCATCGTCGTCGTCAGCATCATCATCATCAGCATCATCATCATCATCATATCATCCTCATCCTCAGTCTCATCCTCATCCTCCTCCTCATCCTCCTCATCATCAGCAACCGCATCAACATCGACATCAACATCAGCACCACCACCACAATCAGCATCAGCATCAGCATCATAACCATCACCACCACCACCATCATCACCATCATTACCATCATCATCATCATCATCATCATCATCATCATCATCATCACCACCACCACCAGCATCACCATCACCACCATCACCACCATCACCTTGATCATAATCACCACCACCACCATCACCATCATCATCAGCATCATCATCATCATCACCATCACCGTCACCATCATCATCAGCAGCATCATCATAAGCATCGTCATCATGATCATCATTATCGTCAACACGATCATTATCATCATCGCCACCACCGCCACCATCACCATCATCATCAGCAGCAGCATCATCATCCTCATCAACATCATCATCATCGTCATCATTATCGACGTCATCATTCCCATCAACGTCATTCTGATCGCTGGCACACCCCTTAACGCGTTTCGTGGTCCAGTGTGGAGCTCCAGCGGAGGCTCCGCCGACGTAGCCCTCATGTGGGCGTCACGCTCGTTTCGACACACCATTTACAAGGTTCGTGGCCCCATAGGGAGCTGCACCCAAGGCCCCAATCACGCAGCCCGTATGTGGGCGTCACTCCCGTTCTGGCACACCCCTCACACAGTCGTGGACTAACAGGGAGCTCCGCTTAAGGTCCCACTGGCGCAGCCCGCATGTGGGCGTCACGCTCGATTAGGCACACCCCTCTACATGTTTCGTGGCCCCATAGGGAGCTCCACCCAAGGCCCCAATCACGCAGCCCGCATGTGGGCGTCACCCCAGTTTCGGCACACCCCTCACACGGTTCGTGGCCCAACAGGGAGCTCCGCCTGAGGTCCCACTGGCGCAGCCCGCATGTGGGCGTCACGCTCGATTAGGCACACCCCTCTACATGTTTCGTGGCCTCATAGGGAGCTCCGCCTGTAGGCCCCAGTGGCGCAGCCCGCATATAGGCGTCACCCCAGTTTCGTCACACCCCTCACACGGTTCGTGGCCTCACAAGGAGCTTTACCCAAGGTCCCACTGGCGCAGCCCGCATGTGGGCGTCACGCTCGATTCGGCGCACGCCTCACACGATGCGTAGCCCAGCAAGGAGCTCCGCCTGACCGCGTAAGGTCCCAGGGGCGCAGCCCGCATGTGGGCGCCGCCCCCGTTTCGGCACACCCCTCACACGTTTCGTGGCCCCATAGAGAGCTCCAGGTAAGGTCCCACGGGCGCAGCCCGCATGTGCGCATGTGGGCGTCACCCCCGTTTCGGCACACCCCTCATACGGTTCGTGACCCCACAGGGAGCTCCGCCTGTAGGCGCCACCCCCGTTTCGGCACACCCCTCCACACGGTTCGCGGCCCCACAGGGGGCGCCGCCTAAGGTCCCACTGGCGCAGCCCGCACGTGGGCATCACCTCTGTTAAGGCGCACACACACACACCTCACACGCTTCGAGGCCCCACAGGGAGCTCACCTAAAGTTCTACCAGCGCAGCTCGCATGTGGGCGTCACGCTCGATTCGGCACACCCCTCACACGTTTCGTGGCCCCGTAGGGAGCTCCACCCAAGGCCCCAATCACGCAGCTCGCATGTGGGCGGCACCCCCGTTCCGGCACACCCCTCACACGGTTCGTGGCCCCACAGGGAGCTCCGCCTGAGGTCCCACTGGCGCAGCCCGCGTGTGGGCGTCACGCTCGATTCGGCACACCCCTTCCCCCGCAGGGGGCTCCGCATGAGAGCCCCTAGTGGGGCAGCACACGTGTGGGCGTCACCCCCCGCTGTGGGCCACTCCGCACACGTGTTGTGGCCCCACAGGGAGCTCCACCTCAGGCCCCAGTGGGATCGCCCGCATGGCGGCGCCGCCTCATGGGGCACACCCTTCACACGCTTCGTGGCGCCAGAAGGAGATCCACCGAAGGCGATACTGCGATACTCACAACCGCGGCACCCACAAGTGCATGCGGTCAAGCCCTTCGCCAGGAGAATTCGTTTTTCTCAGGACGTCGGACATCTTGTGGGTTCTGGCCCGGCCAGGTAGGCCCGCCTCCTCCGGCGCGGGGCGCTCGGGGGATCCATGTCCCAGACGGCCCCCAGCACGTCGAACACGGCGACAAACCTCCTCCGGAGCTCCCCAACTTCCGCCAAGACGTAAGAAGTCCGGGGCTTCCGGCTTCCGGCCTGGCCGGTCTGGCAGGACCTCTCTTAGTGGCGCGGGGCATGCGCTCCACGGATCGAGCGCCTGGTCGCCCGGCTCCAGGCCATGGCGGATCAGCGGGGCAGACCGGCCTGGCCGAGCCCAGGTCGATGGCAAGACCCCGACCTCCAACGTCCTTGAGTCTCTCGATGCGGGGTCCCCTGGCTGCCCCCCCCCCTCCTTTCCAAGGGAAGGGGGGGGTAGCTCGAGGCCGGGGCCGCCCTCTTAGTGAGAAGTGCGCCACGAGCGCGCTCTGTAGCTTGTCTTCTTTCCCAAGGCCCGCTCCTCGCTCGCGAGTCGCCGCTGCCGGCCCCGGGGGCCCGGCGAGGGCCCCCAAGGATCGGCCGCGCACTGCGAGACGCCCGCACGCCCTGGGCTGCTCGAGGCGCTGCTGGAGGTCTGGGGCGGGGGTCCTGGCCCCAGACATGATGGCGTCGTAAAAAAATCAGGACGGGAAGTTTTTCGCTACTTTCGGCCCCGGGGGGCCCTCGCCGGGCCTCGGGACCGTCAGAAAACGAGTCGTGACGAAAAACCGGCCCCGGGGAAAGGGTCTGGACTTGCGGGGACGCCGTCCTGAAAAAATCAGGACGTCGCATGTCTGGGGCCCCCGGGTGCCCCCAGCTTGTCGCTCCGTGCTGGGCCCACTGGAGCCCTGACCGAGGCATCGGCCGCGGGCGGCCAGTGAGCGAGCAACGACCTGTGTACATGTACGCCCTCCGCGGTCTAGCGTGCACGAACCTCCGCGTTCAAACGCAATTCGGCGGAAACAAACCGCGTACATGTCCTGATTTTTTCAGGACGGCGTCCCCGCAAGTCCAGACCCTTTCCCCGGGGCCGGTTTTTCGTCCCGACTCGTTTTCTGACGGTCCCGAGGCCCGGCGAGGGCCCCCCGGGGCCGAAAGTAGCGAAGAACCTCCCGTCCTGATTTTTTTACGACGCCATCATGTCTGGGGTTGTTGCCCTCGGAGCCATGGGCGGCCCCGGGGCCCACGGTGCCCCCAGCTCTTTCACAAGCCGCCTCGAGTGCTGTGCCCACTTGCGGAGAGCCCTCTGCGCCTCGTGAGGGGGGGCTGCTCTCCCGGACCTGCGGCGCCTTGGATGTTTGCCCACGCGCGGCCCCGGGAAGCCCCGGCCCTTTCCCCCCAGACCTCCTCGAGTCATGAAAAAATCACGACGGGAGGTTTTTCCTAATTTTCGGCCTCTGAGGGCCCTTACCGGGCCTCGGGACCGTCAAAAAACGACTCGGGATGAAAAACCGGTCCCGGGGAATGGGTCTGGACCTCTGGGGGTCGCGTCATGAAAAAATCATGACGTCGGGGGTCTGGGCCCGTAGGATGAAGCGAAACCAGGGCGAGGATAAATCCGGACAAGGAAAAGCAGGAATCTCTGAGGCCTGGCGGCTCTAGTGGATGTCTCGGACGCCGCGGCCTTCTCAGAGCGTTCCAGAACGCTCTGACAGCGTTCGTAAACGCTCTGGAACGGATTCATCCTCGTCCTAGCCCCATCCGACCCAGGGCCAGCTTCACATCACGAGTGTTCCTTTTTCGCGGCCCCTACACGGCCCCGCGAGGGCCCCCTCGAGGCCGAACACGGCCAAGCATCCCCCGGCGTGATGTTTGCCACGATGCGAGAAGCATGTCAGGCTCTCGCGGCCGTGGGTGCCGAACAAAAAGTGGCATAAACACAAAAACTCGGAGGTCCGCGCGGATTTCTCGGATCGGCGCTGGGGCCACCCAGCGGCGCCTCCGGCGCCGCCCCTGGCGCTCCGCGCGCCAGGGAGGGGGGTCCAGCGCCGATCCGAGAAATCCGCGCGGACTTCCGAGTTTTTATGTTTATGTCACTTTGCGTTCCCCTATGGAAATCCTGGTCGGCACCGCCCGAGCGTCGGGTTCGCCGGGGGAGGCACCGGAACAGCTTGCCGTTCCTGGTCGCCGCCACCAGCTCCTGGCGCAGGCAAGCCTCCCTCCCTCTCCCTCCCTCCCTCCCTTCCTCCCTCTCTCCCTCCCTCCCCCTCCCTCCTCCTCCCCTCCTCCTCCTCCTCCTCCTCCTCCTCCTCCTCCTCCTCCTCCCTCTCCTCCTCCTCGCTCCCTCCTGCCTCTCCCTCCTCCATGCTCTGCGTAGCAACGCTCTGTCGCGGCGACTTCCGCATTGGTCTCCGACACCGCGTGGATCGTCCAACCTCGAGCGATCGGCGGCGCTTCGATCTCCAAATCGCTCCAGATTGGCCGATTCTGGACCACTGGCAGCGGTCAACCTTGAGGGTCGCTGCAAGGTGTGGAATCGCAACTGGAAAACACATACGACTGCCGACAAGTTGAGAGTTATACGCAATATTTGCGTCGCCAACCTTGCCGTGGCATGCTCTGACCAGGAGCATGCGAATTGCGATCTGCAACTTGGGATGTACAGCATGTGTTGTTGAGTCCAAGCTGTGCAGCTATAGGGCATGCCAATGTGGACATCAAGCAGAGCTTGAGCAAGAAGGCATTCGATCAGCCACAAGGCTGGAGCTTGGGCTGGGGCTGGATGTGGCGCTGAGGCTGCATCTGAGGCTTGAACTGTAGGAGGAGGAGAAGGAGGAAGGAGGAGGAGGAGGAGGAGGAGGAGGAGGAGAAGGAGCAGGAGGACCAATACAAACCCAAGACTCATCAACGATGTTGGGATGCACCCTCTCTCCAAACTCCCTCCTCATGGGCCCCTGCACGGGTTCATTTCCACTGGGGGAAAAGCCCTATTGGGGGACAACCGTGTGAAAATCCTGAATTGTGCCAAAACACAATTCTCAAGATTTCAACGCCACGAGTCAACCTGAATGTTGCGCCCTGACGATCCTGACTTGTGCCAGGCCACCATCCCTGAGACTTCAACACCTCGAGGCAAGTAACTGTTGCGCCCTAGTAATCTTGACTCGTTCCAAAACATCATATCTGGCACGTTCACGAAACCTCGCAGCTTCTAAGAAGTAGCGCGGCGCTGACGAGAGAACCACAGTTTCAAACAAACGCCCTCGAACTGCAAAATTCTTGCAAATGTGTATGACGAGTGTGCGCGGCTTTAAGACAATAATGACATATTGAAAACCACCCGCCCTCAATCCGTGGAGCTCGTGCAATTGTTTGGAAAGAATATGCGCGGCGCTAAAGCGAGAACCCCATATTGAAAACCACCCGCCCTTAGTCCATGAAGCTGGTGCATATTGTTAAAACGAATGCGCGCGGCGCTAAAACGATAACCACATTTTGAAAACCACCCGCCCGCAATCCGTGAAGCTCTTGCATTTGTTTTAAGACGACTGTGCGCGGCGCTAAGGCGAGAATCACATTGTGAAAACCACCCGCCCTGAATCCGTGAAGCTCTTGCACTTATTTTAAAATGACCGTGCGCGGCGCTAAGACGAGAACCACATATTGAAAACCACCCGCCCTCAATCCGCGAAACTCTTGCAAATGCTTTAGAACGAATGTGCGCGGCGCTAAGGCGAGAGCCACCCTCCATCTGCGACACTGTTGCGAGTTTTGAAGCTTCAGGCTCACAAATGGTATGGAAGTCTCAAACGAAACGCCGCCCTTCCGACTGGCCTCGGGGTGCGACAGGGAGGACTTTTTCTGAAGGAAAGAGAATCAAGGAAGAAATGGATGTGGGCTGGAACTGGAGCCAGGGCATGGCCTGGAGCTGTGGCTAGAGCTGGGCCTCGAGCTAAGCTTGGGCTGGGCTTCAGCTGGGGTGAAGCTGGGGAGAAGCTGGGGCTGGAGCTGGCGCTGAGCTTGGATCTGGGGCTGGATCTGACGCTGAGGCTCCATCTGGGGTTTAAACTGGATCTGGGCTTGAGCCAGGGTGGGGCCTGGAACTGGCGATGGACCGAAGCGAAGCTGAAGCTGGAGCTTGAGCTGAGCTTAAGCTGGAGCATGGGCTTTGAGCTGGGGCTCGAGCTGGAGCTGACCTGGAGCTGAGATGAGCTGAGCTGATGCTGTAGCTGGGGTTCGGGGTGGAAGTGGATCTCGAGCTGGGGCTGACGCTGGAGCTGGGCTGGAGCTCGAGCCGGGGCTCGAGCTGGGGCTGGATCTGAACCTTGGATGCAGCTGGAGCTGGAGGTGGTGCTCGGGCTGCCGCTGTAGCTGCAGCTGCAGCTGGGGCTGGGGCTGTAGCTGGACTGGAGGCTGGATCTCTGCCGCTGGACCTGAAGCTTGAACCTGAGCCTGGAGCTGAACCTGGGGCGGCGCTAGATCTGGACCGAACGCTTGAGCTGGAACTGGGCCTGGAGCTGGGGCTCGAGCTGGGGCCGGAGGGGAGTTCGAGCTGGGCTTGGGCTGAAGCTGGGGCTGGAGGGAAGCTGGTGCTGGAGATGGAGCTAGAGCGAAGCTGGGTTCTGACCTGAATCTGTTGCTGAGATGCTGGAGCGGAGGCTGCGGCCGGAGCTGAACGTGGGCCGAGCTGAAGAGAGACAGGAGCTGGAGCTGGATCTGGACTGGAACTGGGGCTGGATCTGGAGAAGCGCTGGAGCAAGAGCTGGAGCCGGGGCTCGATCTGGACTTGGAGAACCTGGTATGGAGCTGGAGCTAGAGCTAGGCTGATGCTGGAGCTGGGGCTTGAGCTGGAGCTTGGGGTGGATCTGGCGCTGGAGCTGGGATCGGGATGGGCTGGAGATGAGGCTCGAGATCGGGCTGGATCAGCCGCTGGAGCAGAACCTGGGCTGAAGGTGGAGCTGGCGCTCGGGCTGCAACGGCAGCGGGAGCTGGAGGCTAAGCTGATGCTGGAGCTAGGGCTCGAGCTGAACAAGAAGCTGGACGTGGACCTAGAGCTGGACACGGACCTGGACTGGGCCTCGAGCTTGAGCTGGGGCTGGAGTTGGGGCTGGAGCTGGGGCTGAAGCTCGGCTGAATCCGGAGCTGGGACTGGAGCCTGATGCTGAAACTGAGCTGAGGCAAGATCTGGGGCTGGGGTCGGCGCTGGAGCTGGGCAGCAGCTGGGACTGGGCTGGAGCTGGACCTGGGGCTGGAGCTGGAGCTAGATTCTGGATCTGGGGTTTGGTCTGCAATGGAGCTGGAACTAGGACTGAGCCCGGGCGGGCGCTGGAGCTGGAGCTGGAGCTGGGGCTTGGGCTGCAGCTGTTACTGGACCTGGGGTTGGTGTTGGAGCTGAGCTAGACCCAGAGGCCGCACACTTCCCTTGTCTAAGGTGAGTGTAGAGACAAGCATGTGACACACAATGGCGAAAAGGTCGCATGCACCGCCGAACAGGCCCACATGCACCCGCGAATAGGACATGCCACTGGCGATCAGACCATTGGGCCCGATCGATACTGCATGTCGGAACACACCGTTGAATGTTCAGCGTCGTACACCTGCGAAAACATGCATGCACTGGCGAGCAGGACCCATCTTGTAGACGTGCTCTTGAATGTACTTTGTTTAGCGCCATGCCTGGAGCACTGTGACGTCTTGGAATCCATGCTGTGAAACATAGTTACACAATCCACATTGACCATGCTTCCCAATCTGGAATGTCGTCTTCGGATATCCGCCGATCCGACGTGTGAGTTTCAAGGAGTCTCAGCTACAGCCTCGAGGCTGAGCCTCAGCCTCTGGGGGGATTGCTGGGGTGGCTCTGCCGGGGAAGGGTGGGGGGGGGGGGGGGCGAGTTTCCGGCGGATGCGTTTTTTGACACCCCTCACAAGGATCGTGGCCTCCGAGGGGGTTCCGAACTCGAGTACCACCCCTCCCGCACCAAGAGGCTCCGAGGAGGCCTCCAAGAGGCCCCAAGGGGCGCGGAAGAGGCCCCCAAGAAGCCCCAAGAGGCTCCCAAGAGACCCCCAAGAAGCCCCAAGAGGCTCCCCCCCAAGACCCCCAAGCCCCAAGAGGCGCCCAAGAGGTGGCCCCAAGAGGCCCAAGAGGCCCCCAAGAAGCCCCAAGAGGCGCCCAAGAGGCCCCCAGAAGTCCCAGCCAACCACGAGATCCCGACCAGCATCCATGAGGCCTCTGACCCACCACCCACGCACGGTGGCGGGATAGGCCGACGGCCACTGGATAAATGCTGAGTGAGAGGAGGGGAGGGAAAAAGAGAGGAGGGACGAGGGCGAAGAAGGATCACATCAGTCGGAGCGCCCCGGATCGGCGGCACTGGCCGAAGGCCACTACAATAGTGCATCTTCAGAGTGTGGCTTCTTGTCTTACTCGAAGCTGTCACTTTGCACAACACTGTCGTTGACATCCTCTTGTCATCATCGCCTTCATTGTTGTTATATTGTTCTTAACGCTGGTTTGCAAAGGAGCTGGAATCAGGCGGAACCCCAACGAACCATTTAGCCTCTCGGCGGAGCGCCTAAGAAGTTTGTACGCTTCGCCCCGTGGAAACTTTCAAGGCCGCTGAGGCGGCGGAGGGGGCGGTCTACACTCCTCTCGGGTCTTCGGGCCGGACCCACGGCGCATGACGAAACGTCCCTACGCCAGCAAACAGGGCATGCACCAGCGAAAGGGTCGCAACCACAGGCGAACGGGACGTGCACCGGCGAACCATGCCGCGTGCGAAACCGGCCTCCGGGGAGGGGGGCTCTGGCAGCACCAGGGTCACAACACGCTGCAGCGGGCCAGGGCCCCGCGAGGCGCTCTCGCCGACGAGCGAGGGCGGGAGGGAGGGAGGGAGCCTCCTTCCCTTGTCTCTCTCCTCTCCTCTCTCCTCGCCTTGCGCCTTCCACCCGCACTCCCGCCCCCCGCCTCCTCCTCCGTCTCCTCCATCTCCTCCTACTCCTTCCTCCTCCTCCTCCCTCCTCCACCTCTACCTCCGACTCCTTCGCCTCCTCCGTCTCCTCCTCCTCCTCCTCCTCCTCCTCCTCCTCCTCCTATCCCTCTTCCTTATTGGTAAAAACTCCGACTCCGCCATGCTGCAAAATGCGTGGCAAGAGTTGGACGGGGCGCACGTCCCGAGCGAAAGGCCGAAGTGTCGCTCTCGCCCCGTCGCCCCAGAGAAGCGGAGCGCTCCAGCTGGGGCGCGGCGCACACTCTGCGCGCGCGCGAGCTCGCCGACGCGCGAGCGGGGGAAAAACGATCGCCCTCGCCTCGGCACCGCAGATTCGGCCCGAACGTGGCGCTCCCGGCCCGGCGCGGCGCACACTTTTCGCCCGCAGGCCGTGGCGGGCCACGCGCGGAGTTAGCGCGACTTGCCGCCCTTTTCCTCGGCACCGTGCGCATGTCACTCGGGAGGAGGAGGGGGAGGAGGAGGAGGAGGAGGAGGAGGAGGAGGAGGAGGAGGAGGAGGAGGAGGAGCCCCGCGTCGGCGCGGCGCATGGCTCGCGTGCCGCATCGCACGAAAAGCGACGGGGGGTCGCGCGAGCGCGGGCGACCTGCCGACCTCGGCCCCGGGCGCCGCGCAGCTTGTTGGCGGCAGCGGCCGTGCCGTGCCGGCGCGGCGCGCGCCTCTCGTCGTCGCCGCGCCCCTCGGGCGCGTTGCCGCTCCTGCCCCTGCGCGGCACTCGTCGAGTCGTCGGCAGCGGGGCCGCGCACGAGCGCCCTCCGCCTGCGAGGCGGGGGCGAGATCCGGTCACGAGATCGAGCTGTGCCACCATGGATTCTTCTGTGGTGGGAGGGGGGGGTGGGAATAGGCTGGGCCCTGTGATTCGCGCGACCTGGCCAACTTGACTCCTCCTCCTCCTCCTCCTCCTCCTCCTCCTCCTCCTCCTCACCCTCCCCCTCCCCCTCCTGCTCCTCCCCCCTCCTCTCGCCTCCGTCCTCCTCGATGAGCGTTGCTCGCGGTCGTTGCGGGCACCCCTCCTGGGAGTCGCTGGAGGGCGTTAGCGACGTCACCCCGATCTCCAGGACGTTCTCCGCCTGGCAGTCCCAGTGCGTGTCGTCGCCCGTGAGCGTTTTCACCTGAGGACCCAGACCTCCTCGCGTCGTGACAAAAATCGCGACGGACAATTTTTGGGTGATCGGCGAGGGCCCCCGGACCGTCAAAACGGAACTCGCGATGCAGAACCTCCTCGGGAAAGGGTTCAGACCTCCAGGGCCCACGTTTTGAAGAAACCAACAAGACGTCGGCGTTCTGGGAAACGCTCCGCCGATGCAGCCCGAGGGGGAGACGGATCATAAACAGGAGGACCCAGCGTTGCATGATGTGCGCCTGCGTCAAGGATCCTGACCCTTCACTGCGGGCAAAATCAAAATTAGATATCATAGCTCCCGAATGCCCCTGCGACACACCAGTTCGAAGAGCACGCAATCGCGCTAGGAGACGGAGTGGCAGCAGGAGAAGCAGTGGGGAAAGGAGAGGAGGAAATAGATTCTGGTGATGATGCTGCTGATGATGACGAGGAGGAGGGACGAACAGGCCTCCAACCCCGCCGAACAGTCTTTACTAACAAGCCCTCGCTCGCATCCCCAGCCTGCTCGCACTAGGAAGCTGGCTGACATGATTTAGATATTCACTTCGCATCGAGGACCTTCGGTATGGTGATGACGATGATGGTGATGATGACGATGACGTGATGATGATGCTCATGATGATCGTGTTGATGATGTTGATGATGGTGATGGTGATGATAACGACGATGATGATATTGCTGCTGCTGCTGCTGCTGCTGCTGCTGCTGATGATGATGATGATGATGATGATGATGATGATGATGATGATGATGATGATGATGATGATGGCGATGATGATAATGTGATGGTGATGGTGATTTCCTCTCCATTTAACCGGTGTGCCGACTGGGTAAAATTGGCGTGCGTATGATAAGGTTCGATGTCGCAGAGGCTCTCGAAAAGTGTCGCAACGGCGCGGCCGTGTCGTAACGGCGCGGCCGTGGTGCCTCGCTGCGCCGGCGTTTGCGGAAGTTTCGTACATGACCATTGTAAGTCAGCTCGATTTGACTTGACAGAACCAAACGAGATGGCAGCTTACACCACCTCCTGTGCACCTACGAGCTCGGCGCGGATCGCTGTGCCAGGGCCCAGCGGCAGGGAACACTCTGGGCCAGCGCCCGCTGGTTGGGGTCGCCCCCCACGCTGCCGACGAGATGCCAGCCGCAGCCCATTCTGCCCCAAAATCCACGAAGCCAAGCGAGAGCCTCGCCATCTGCAAGTGGGTGGACGGAAAACTCCGCACCTTCGGCCACCTCGTGGGCCCTGTTGGCCAGCTGTCTTCTCTGTGACTTAGGAGTGAGGACTCGCAGGAGAAGCGGCCTCTTCTCCCCGCAATCTGAAGGGCGAGGCTTGTATCTGACGCGCTGGATGCAAATGCCAAGAATATCCACACCTCCACAGCCCCTCAGCCCATCGAACTACAAGCAAACTGTCGACCCCGAGCTCCCTGCGTAGTATCTGGGGTGTCTCCTCGACGAACCTGGTAGTCTTGGCACGCCTACGCGGCGGCAGGCCAGGAGAGCCCACGGAGTCCTTTAGAGGCCTCGCCGGCTCCACCCCAACTGCGCCATACGCCGCTTGCCAGAACATCGCCCAGGTCCTGCGACCATGGATACACGTCGTTAATTTCTAATCGTGCTCATTTCTAATCGTGCTCGCTTCTAATTGTTCCTGGCCCCCTAATGGCCAGGAAGAGGCCCAGGATAGAACGATTCGAAATGAAAGGATCTGGGCCCCCCCAAAAAATCAAAGACCTTTCGAATAATTAGAAATGAACAATATGTAGAAGTCTCCTCCTCACCCAGGTCCCAGTCGGTAAATATATCTGCGAATATGCGTCGTCACGTTGTTTCGGTCGCGTGTAGCGCGGTGCGTGTTTCCACTGCCCAGGGGCCTTGCCACTTCTGGGGTTCACCTGCACACCGCGAGCTTGCGGGCGTTTCCAATGTTTGGTATCCGAAGCCACGAGTGTGCTGCAGTGGGGCGCTCGGGGTGTGGCGGGGTCACTCTGCGGCCAAGGTCCAACATGGATCGTAACGCGCGAAACGTGATAGATTCAAACCCCGTGTTGTGTGCAGATTGCGAGCCTTGCGAATTCCCTGCTTGAAATATGCTATGGCCGTCTCATCTGGCCTGCATGGGATCCAGAGAATTCGAAGGCGAGCGGCCTCCCAATGCGCCAATCTGTCGCGCAAGTGTTGAGACAAAGACCACCACCCTGAACAAAACACCGCCACGAGAACCATCCGCTTGCCACAACGTTCCAAACGTTGTGCGAGTCCAGTGCTTCTGTTGCATACGTGTCCCTGGTCTGCCCAGAAGGCCCGACTGATGGCTGACAACCGCATCAGTGCTGTGTCATTGCTCAAGCATTGAGCCGCAACCGCGGCCCCGAACGCTCCCATCGCCTCGAAGACCGGCGCGCGCCTCTCCGAGACCCCGCCAGGCAGTTGGACCGTCGGCGGCCTCGTGGCCTCGCGCGCCACCAGCAGATGGGACATGCCATGGTTCCCGCCGCAGGCGAACTGCGCGGAGCTGGGGAGGCAGCTCTCTGACCGTTGGTAGGGGGCCACATGCGAACCCTACCCCTACCCCCCACGATTTCTGAAGGGGAGGCCGGGGTTCACTTCCCTCGGGAGATCGTGGGGGGTAGGGGTAGGGTTCGCATGCGGCCCCCTAGTTGGCTGCAGGTGACCTCGCCTGCGGCACAACAGCAAAGCAGCACCTGCCCACGTGAAGTGCGCGCAGAGCCCATCCAAGATCGCGCTGCAGCGGCGCGGCCGCGCCGCCACGGCGCGGCCTGCTCCGCGCGCCCTCCTCGCGCGGAGGTCCCCGCGCGCCATCTCGGGGCGCGCCGCCCGCGGGCGCAGGGCAGACATAACCCTGGCCAGCAGAGTGTTCCAGGGCATCGGCGCCTCCGCGCTGCCCTGGCTGCCCGCGGCGCCGTGGAAGACTGGCTCCGCGGCCTCGATGCCGTCGAAGCTGGGGCGCAGCTGCATGCGCACGTGCTCCCAGGCGATCGCCGACGCGCCCTGGGGGTGCAGGCCGCGCCAGAGTGGCACCTGGGCCACGTTGCCCTCGTTTATGGGTATCGAACGCATTCTGGATGGCATGTCTCCTGCCAAGATGTGCAGCTCTCGCAGAGGTTGCCTCTCGCGGGCACGAGCGGCCAGGAGGCCGAGTCCGCCAGCGAGACGATCGACCGACAGGCGCTCCTCGAAGCCGAGGATGGATGGGGCCCTCCAGTGTGGATGGTTTGGACACTCCTATGTCATGATCAGGATAGTCTGCACATGCCAATGGAGAGAAACTGAGACGCGCGTGATGCCCCGATAACTTGTGAAATCGGCGATGCGCCGTTCTTTGGATAAGAACATAACGATGAGATGAAGCCACTCCCACACCCGCTGGTTCCCCCTGGAGCCCGCGATTCCCAGATACCTTGCCCCAAAAACGTTCGTAGACGACGCGCGCGAGAGATATGGGCAGTGCTGCAACATCTCCTCCACCACTATCACCACCACCACCACCACTATCACCACCACCACCACCACCACCACCACCACCACCACCACCACCACCACTGCGCTCCCAACCCCCGCTGCCTTATCCGTGCTCATTCTGGCCCGGGCCTTCAAAACCTGTGCGATAGATAGCCGTGGAGGCGGTGGCCCTTCCATGATCTCAGCTTTGGCGAAAGAGACAACGTGCGCATGTAACGCCTGCTGCGCGCGCTCTGTGGTGGACGGGTCGCGATATTCAGCTAGGCAATGCGCGCGCAGGTGCGACTGCCGCGTGCCGCCGCCTCCCGGTCCTCGCTGTCTCCCCCGCCGAGTCGGAACGACCGCGGACGACGGCTGCGGGCCGCGGGGGGGCCCCTCTCGGCGACCCGCCGTCGACGCAGCTTCCGGACCTGCATCCCTCCCCCCAACTCCAGGGGGCAACTTTTTGCAGAGGTCCTCCCAGCGGCTGAACTCCTCGGGCCGTCCGCGCAGCCCTGCAGTGCAAGAGGCTGCAGTGGGGAACTGGACGCTCTCCGCAGCCTGCGACGCCATGCGATCCAAATCCCCAAAATTATAATCTCTCCCGCTGTCCTCCCACTCCCCGCGCATCCCCGCTGATAACAATCAGATCTCTTCCGAACTCCGCCTCCTGCCGTCTCGAATTTGGCCCCCACCCTTTCGGTGAGCGCCGAAAGGGTCGGGCGCTGATAGAGGGAGGGTCGCCGTAACGGGGCGCGGGCTGCGTCGCGGCCGCAGCGTCGCAACGGCGTGGGGCTGTCTTGAGGCTAATCTCACACAGCATGGGAAAGTGGTCGCTGCCCCGCACCACATGATTGTTTAGCATTTAGCACCTTGCACGAGCTGGCAAGGCTCTGAAAATTCAACGCGAAATCGATCAGCCGGAGGTCCTCATTTCTCCAGTGTCGAAGAGTGTGCCAACTCGCCTGATACATGTTGGTGTTCGCCACGGACAGCTTGACATCGAAGAGGACCCCTGAAAGGAGACATCTGCGTTGCTGTTGAAACTCTGTATTTCTTACAACAGAAAACGACATTGAGACCCGACAGCGTCACTCCCCCCACTCATGAGCTGGTGCGAACTGCGCGTCCAGGCCGCATGCAAAACTCCTGGCATCCCGTTGCTTTTCCAGGCCAAGGGCGCGGCGGAACGATAGGACAGAAGACTCGTGCTCATCCAACCCTTTGGAGGCATCCGCCAGATATGCGAACATAAATTAAAGGCCAGGCCACCTTTGAGGCATACGGCCGCCACTCTCTCGGAACAGCGCTGGCTGGCTGGCTGGCTGCCATGAGCCATACGAACACTGGCTGGCTGTCGCTTCGTGCTCCAGCGCCGCCCGGGGCGGCCACCGGAGCTCGCGCTCCCGCTGCTGCGCAGGCGGTGCACCCGCCGAGCGCCCCGTCTGCGCTCCGCACTACCGCCTGGAGTGCCGGCGCAGGTGCACCGAGAAGCGCCTCGCTCCTTGCCGCGGCCGGGCGGCTCGCCTTCCAAGGGGGGCGCCCGGCCCTCTCGGAGCCAGGCCCCCCCCCCTTCTCGCGAGCCGCCGCTGTCCCTGGAGCTCCCGGGCGGCCGCTTCGGTGGCCAAGTCCCCGGGAATGGCCTTGCAGCGGCTCGCGACAGGCCTCCCAGCTGGTGGAAGCCGAAAGGCGAACAATGGTCTGCGAACGAGGTGGGGTCTTGCATAGCACCCTCGATGGAGTGGCCATCCGCTCGATCTCGAAAGACGCGGTGCTTACCCTCTTTGGCCCAGCCAGCGCCAGCCACCTGGCCCCAGCCCAGGAAGGGGCCGCTCGGTTGGGGTCCGCCTGCAGGCTGACCGTGAAGTTCGTACCCCTAGGCTCCTGGAGCTTCTTTTCACCGATGACCTGCTGAGTCTTGGCCCTGACTTTCCAAGCGTTGTTCTTATCGCTCTTCCCCTCGTCGGACGACCGCAGCTTCACTTTAGTCGTGAGGGGCCCCGCGTTGGCGATCGTCTCGCTCTTCTCCCAGTCCACCGAGCTCGTGCACCCGCCGAGGAACTTCGCACGCAGGTCCTGGACCAGCTGCACCGCCTCAGCGTCGGTCGTCTGCGACTCGTCCGCGGGCATGCCCTGCACGAACTTGGTGAAGCCCTTGATTTCTATCTGGGTCACCACGTGTTGTTTGTTCGTGCGTGGGAAAACACACACACACAGACACACACACAGACACACACACACACAGTGGGAACACATAAAAACACAGTCTGTGGGGAAAACAAACACTGTGGGGAAACGAAATCACTGTGTGTTTTCCTACAAAAAACACAGTGTGTGTGTGTTTTTCCCCCCCCCACGTGTGTTTTTTTTTTGCTTGTGCCCGCGGTGGTGCTGCGCCCCGAGTGGGCCGGCCTCGTGTCGGAGCCGGCGGCTCGCGCAGACTGCAGGGCCTCGTCGGCGCCGCGGTCCTCTCGGCGGCCGCGGCGGAAGCCCGAGCCGCCTGGGGAGGGCCGCTCCGCAGCGCGCTCGTCCGCCCCCTCGTGTGATTGGTCTTCCGCTCGGTACTTCCGAAGGCCTCGAACCTGTCTTTCGAGGTTGGCGCAGCGTCGCCCTCCATGTCTTCGCAGCGATCATCCCAACCACGCTTGTACACCGCAGCTCCGGATCGCTTCTCTCTGTGAGAATGTACTCTGCAGCGTGTCGGAACAGAGTACAGGAAAAGACGGGCAGCCCGCCCCATGATGATGATGACGATGACGATGACGACGACGACGACTATGATGATAATGATGATGATGATGATAATGATGATGATGATGATGATGATGATGATGATGATGATGATGATGATGATGATGATGATGATGATGATGATGATGATGATACTGATGATGATACTGATGATGATGGTGATGACGATGATGATGCTGATGATGATGATGATGGCGATACTTACGGTGGTGATGCTGATGATTATGAGGCTAATGATGATGACGCAAATAAGGATAAGTATGAGGATGATAATGATTGTGATGCTGATGCTGCTTAGGAATATGATGATGATGATGCTGATGATGATGATGATGATGATGATGATGATGATGATGATGGTGGTGGCGAGGGTGAGGGTGAGGATGTTGAGGAGGAGGAGGAGCGCACTGCCCACAGAAGGGAGGGAGCGAGCGCATCATAATATCACAATGCAGGAGCGCGGGGCCACCCTGGAGGGCCTTCTCGCGGAGCTCCCTATCGATCGGGGGCCAGGTCGGCTTGATCGGCGGCCGATCGGTTGACAGATCGCCTGCATCCGCGGCCAGGCCGAGGCCAGATCGGCGGCAGATCGACTGAGCGGCTGGCTCTGGATCAGCGGCCTCGTCGAGCCCTGGTCGAGGCCCGATCGATCCTCGAGAGGGCCCAGGCGCCCCCCAGGGCGACGCACCCCCAGCGACGGAGGCTGCGGGCCGAGCTCCTCGCCGAGCGAGCCCCCCATGCTGGGGCCATGCTGGAGCCATGCTGGAGCCATGCTGGAGCCCCTGGGGCCCCGCGAGGGGGTGCCCTGGAGGCCACCTGGGCCTCCCTGGCGCAGCTGATCATGCTGAGATCTGGGCGCTGCACTTCACTTCACGCCAGGCGATGGCGCCCGGCACCTGGCCCGGGGCCAGCGCAGCCCGCTCCGGCGCCCAAAAAAGTGCCGCAGAAAGACAGAGCCTGAGGCTCCAGTCGTGTTTTATCCGCGATGCTGCCATGTCTTCGAGCTCCAGGGAGGTCTCGTAGGCTGCGCCCGTGGACGCACAGCTCGAGGGAGGCCTCGCAGGCTCGACGTGCGTGCTCCCCGTGGGGGCGGCCTCTGGGCGCTGCCGCCAGAGCACCCCGCACGCGCGACGGGACTTGGTGCGCCCGTCGCTGCCACCGCCGCCGTCACCGCCGCCGCCGCCGCCGCCGCCTCCGCCGCCGCCGCCACCGCCGCCGCCTCCGCAGCCGCCGCCGCCGCCTCCGCCGCCGCCGCCACCGCCGCCGCCTCCGCCGCCGCCGCCACCACCGCCGCCGCCGCCGCCGCCGCCGCCGCCGCCGCCACGGGCGAGGACCGAGCCCCGATCGGCGGAGCCGGGCCCCGCCCGGCTCTCCCCCGACGCGTGGCGCCCCGCGCAGGGCGCCGCCTCGAGGAAGGCGCCCTCGCCCGTGGCTGCGGGCCCGCGCCCTCTCGGCGCCCCCCGGGCGGGGGACCTGGGGCCCTCTGAGGCGCTCGCGCGCCCGTCCCCGCCCGCGACGTAGAGGAAGCTGCCCGCCGCCGCCATGCTGGTCAGCCCGCTGCTGCACAGCGGCAGCGACGTGCGGAACACCTTTGGCCGTGCCCCCCCCACCCCCTCCTCCCCCCCCTGGGGTTGCCCCCTCTGCTCCTCCTCCCTCCTGCCGCTGTCCCTCCTGCTCCTCCTGCTCCTCCTGCGCCCCCGGCTCCTTGCGGAGAGCTCCTCTTCGCCTGGCCACCAGACGTGTCGGTGGGGCGGGGCGGGCGTTCTCCCCTAGACTGCCCCCCCCGCTCGAAGAGCTACACGGATGGTGGGAGTGTTCGAAAAATGGCTCTCGCCTTAGCGCCGCGCGCATTCGTCTTGAAACGTCCAGCAGTGAGACGGATGGAAAGGGGGGTGTTTTCAAAACATAGCTCTCGCCTCAAAACTGCGCGCATTCGCCGAAAAGTCTTCCAGTTGTCACACGGACGGATAGCTTACCTTTTCGAAATATTTCTTTCGCTCGGGATTTCAAGGGTTATAACATGTGATTGGGGAATAGTTCAAGGGTTCTCTCAAGGGGAATCACCTGCACGCATGGGGGGGCGGCTCCTTTTCAAATTGGGGGTCTCGCTTGGCACGCCCTCAGGTGTTCTGACCAGACGCTTTTGGAGAAACATTGTACGGATTGAGGGCGGCTCTTTTTCCAAGCGGGGACCTCGAACTTCCATGATTTAGCGTCCTACCTGGCCGCTGTCGTCTGAACCAGGAGCAGGGATAGCAGCTGCTTTTCATGGCGAGGTTCTCGCCTCAATTACAGGACCATGTGGAGTTCGCCGTTCAAGGGGACACTTCTCGCAGTGGGCAAGAACTCCTCTAGGAGATTAGGACAAAGGGACACGGAACGGGTGAGCGCATTGCAGCGTCGTTGATGCAGATTGGGTGTAACCTGGTCATCCTCCTTATCCTCATCCACGTCCTCATGCTCCTGCTTCTTGTCATCGTCGTCGCCGGCTACGACTACGACTACCACTACGACTACGATTACGACTTCTACGACTACCACGTACGCCTACGCCTACGACTACGACTACGACTACGACTACGACTAGTACTGTTACGACTACGTCTACGGCTACGGCTACGACTACAACAACGAAGACGACGACTACGCGTACTATAACTCTTCCTCCTCCTCCTCCTCTTCCTCCTCCTCCTACTCCTCCTCATCTTCCTACTACTACTACGACTACTACGACTACTACGACTACTACGACTACTACGACGACTACTACTACTACTACTAGTACTACTACTACTACTACTACTACTACTACTACTACTACTACTACTACTACTACTACTACTACTACTACTGTTTCTGCTACTACTACTACTACTACTACTACTGCTAC